AGGATAATTAAAACGGAGGTCATCACATTGACTTTACAACTGTGGCGTCCCTGAAGGCGCCACCTAGCGGCCACCGGAAGGACCGCGTGCTTCTTTAGGCTAAGCCGTGACAATTATTATAATAAATTTTAAAAAATGAATTAGCTAAATATAAATAATTCGGACGACGATGTCTCGAGACGATGAATGCAGAACGCGGAAAGTGAAGGGAGGTGGAAAAAAAGGGGGAAGTTCGTTCCCCTCGATCATGTAAGAGACCCGATGGAGGTAGATGGATTTTTAAGAAATGATTTCCGTTGGAGTGAGCCCTGACGGGAAAGAGGGGCGGGGAGACGCTATGCTATGTCTATGCAACACCTTCTCCTTAGTTCATTTTTCAGAACGGGTAGGACCCCCCCCCCCCCTCCCCCATTAATCATCATGGTTTTGCAGGACAATGTGGTATGTGGGCTTTTATTAGCGGCCTCACGTCGCTCTGCGGACATCGCAACCCGCCGCGCACGTTTCCGAACGTGAGCAGTCTTTGGCCACGCTACGTGAACTCATGACTATGCGCATGTGAGAGCACATGCGGTCGCACTGTGCGCACGCGTGTGTCGTGTGTGTACGCGCGCACATGGCACCGACCATCACCACGAATCACAGTAGATTCTATAATATAGAGTATTCATTTTCTTAGATGGTTGAGCGCGGAAGGCATAACCAAAGCGAATTATTTTCACGGGGGAGAAACTTGCCTTTAATGCATATTTATCACTTACTCTCATTAAAATTCTCTTGTCGTTATCTACAAAAAAATACCGGATGCAACTACAAACGTAAAAATTCAAGTCCGAGGAAAATGTAAGCAAATACAGGCAAAAATGAAAAGTGATGTCATAACACGCTATAAAAACTCTGAATATGTTTATACGTAATAGTATTTAAGAAAAACAATCATGTAAATATAATCATTCAGTTAAACAAAGTGGATGAGGATGAAGGCGGTGTGGATTGAATGTTTGTCGGCAGTCGAGTTCACTGTGCCTCCATTGCCTTGTGGCCAGCTGGTTCATTCACTAACGCCGACACCTTTACCACTAGGAAACCGGATGACGAGTAACAGTCCTTCTCGGGACGACATTCGCGCTTGGGAGGCTCCGGAGGGATAGTCAGTGACTCCGACAGCATCAATCCGTTGCGAACGCTGGTGTTACAACGGCTCACTGGTGAAACGGAACCGATGTTGTTGGTTGGGCCGTCTCTCGATGTCGAGTTTTAGCGGTCCGAAGAAGCTCTTCCCCTTGAAACACTCCTCGAGGATGATGATACGGTAACCCTCGCGGAAGTTTCGCTTGAAATAGGCATAAATGATAGGATTGACGTAGCTGGTCGTGTCGGCCAACCATCGAGGCAGCGGTCGGATGTGGTCGAGCAGGTCGATCTTGCCGTCGAAGACGTCCTGCTCGACGAACTTCACCAGGACGGCGAAACTGAGGAGTGGAAGCCAGGAGAGGAAAAAGACGACGATCNGGTAAGCAGAAATTCGACTCACTCGAAGAAATAATTGTTCAATGCATGAACATTTCGAGAGAGCTGTGGCATTTGCTAACCTAACGCATCATCCTGGAATATTATCGAGAAGATATTGCAAAAAAGCCGGATGGACATAATGGAAAGGGATATTATTGAACATAGTTGCAAGGAACAAATTGCTCGAAAGGGATAAGTATAATTCAATGTTCCCAGTTCCCCGCCACCTTCCTGTGTCGATTTCCATGAGAACCCGTTCGCTCTCCTCGAAGCCTATTGCTTCTCACTGGTCAAGAATACACGATTTTCTGCGCCTTTTCCTTAGAGGGATGTTTGAAGAAACCAACGACACCAAAATTGCTTACTGTCTCCTGGGGGATAGAGAACGCGGGGCTTTAATTGCCGATTTCAATTCCGGAATAAAGTACAATCTTTTGGATCTTTAGCGATTTCAATGAAGTACGGAGACACTAAGAAAACTTTCTTGAGACTTTCCTTTTGAAATTTCAAAATAGACTTCCCATGGAGGAAACTTGAAGGTGCAGATGAAAAGGGGACCAATCTCAAAGAGTGCATTTAGTAAGTTTTCCTGGGAACGGGACCGGGAACCATGTTGAGGGGGGTAGAGGGGAGGGGGGGAGGGAGTAGGGGAGAGGGAGGAGGGGAGGGAGGGAGTAGGGGGGAGGGAGGGAGTAGGGGGGAGGGAGGAGGGGAGCGAGGGAGTAGGGGAGTTAGAGATATGAGAAGGGCAAGGTAGAAATGAGAAATGATGTAAATCCATTTCTCAGACGCACGTTCGCAAAACGTAAATTCCGTTGATCTTTTCCGATCTTTTCCGCGGAAGTTGAAGCCTGTTCCACACGCGTGGAGGCTGTTGCAGCATTACCCTTGCTATCTTCGTTTCCACGTAGATGGCGAAGTCATCAAAACGACGTACCTCTACCACACGAGTATTCTGTTGAATTGAAAGAAACGTCACAGATATACCCTTTCGCCCATTTAGATAAAATTCCAGAGGATCTGAGAGAGCAGCATGGAAGAGCAGGCCTTCCTAACGTATGAAACCTTCGAGAACAGGACCTTCGACCTCGACGCGAACGGCAGCTTCCGGAACGAGACATTCTTCCGATACGGGCCCGTGGTGACCTCCACGTTGTGCATCCTGTTCGGCGCCGTCTTCCTCCTCGGATTCGCGGGGAATCTCCTGGTGATGATGGTGATCGTCCGGGTCCAGATCATGCGCACGGCGATCCACTTCTGTATGTTCAACTTGGCCGTGGCGGACTTCCTCGTCATCGTCTTTTGCGTTCCTGCGAACCTCCTTGGCAACATTCTCAATCGTGAGATCATTTTTCCTATCTCTCTCTTTAACTCCACGCTACAGACTCAATTTCTTCCCTGAGGGAATTGCAAATAATTGGCTCATTCACTTACTTTCGCCGCGCTTTCATTCCACAATTTACATTTCAATATTGTTCACTGTTAGAATCAGATATTTAGTTTAAATAATGCGCCATCATGAAGTTCACAATTTAATTTCAAAGAATTCGAGCGAATCCCCAAAATATATTTGGTGTGTATCTTCCAGCTGAGGTGCCAAGAGAATTTAGTTGGGAGCATATTTGTCCCCACCCAAGGTGCAGATTCTGCTGGCTTTTTCCCATAGAATCCTTTTTTTCTTTTCTGTCGACTGTGGCATCTCGATTTTCGCCAATTCTTTCGATGATTATTTATTACTCATGAAATTCGATTCGGGGTTCGTTAGAATATGAACTACAATCGCAACTTCCTTTGCTTGCAATCCTGTTTTTTTTGTTAATAGCTAGTGTTGGGGCATGATGAGTCATAAATCAAAGTGAGCCAATATTTCCTGATATCTTGTTTCCTGATGTTTCCAATGTCAATACAAATCATTATTTCCATTGCTGTATTTGTTGGCTTAATAATGCACAATCCAAAGCTCAAGACGATGAAAAGCGTGACACCAGCGGATTCTTGGGTGTGAAACGAATCGCAGATCATTTTCTGATTAAAGGTTCCAAATTTTTCTCGATAACATTGGTGTCGCGGACGATAATCTTAGAACTTCCCTCTCTACTTTTCAAAGTGGAGCTTTGTTCGATTCGGACAATGTCCTTATTTAAATCTCTACCTACGAAGACGTGATGATTAAGGGTACACGTACCTTTCTTATCCCAGCCCTTATTGTGCAGGGTCGGCCCTCATCAGACTTCCTGTTTCGAGTTTCTTGCAATGGTTTTCCTTCTTTGCCTCATGCCGTCAAGCTTATCTGAAATAGAAGTCACATCATCGATTCATAACTCGAGTAATAAGACAGTCATTTTGTAATCGTTCAAAGAAAGTAGGTTCTTACAACCGAAGTGGGACGAGTCCTCTATTGCCGCAGAGGAAATTCACACTTTCATGCAAGTGTCAGAAGTCCCCAGTCCTTAACACTTGACCAATTATATTTTCTCACAACAAAGCAACGAGATTTACATTTAAATATTCTATTTATATTTCTGAAGTGTTTAACCATATGAGGCGACTCGCCTGACCGAAATTTCTCTTCCCCTGCCAATACCTTGAGCGTTTGGCGGCGTCGTCGCATCCTGAGTGAAGGAGCGATAAAACATCAATCTCAGGATGCCTCATTCTCAATCATCCACATTTTTCCTTCCACTTTTTCGTCATTGCAATCCTAATCATAAAGGGCGAAGGGCATTCATGACGAGCCTTTTTCTTCTTTCTTGGTCTAAAGCAGGGTTTTTAACCTGGGTCCGTGGGTAATACTTGAGGAGGTCTGGGGGTCCATACGTGCTAAAAGGTCAAGAAGCTATGGTCTATAGCTTAATCGAATGAGATGGCCAGGGCCTCACTGACTTGTCAATGCGAGAAAATTCCTTCATATAGTAATTTCGGAAAAAAAAGAGAGACCAAGCTGGTGGGAATGGAAGCTCGAGATCAATCCCGCAAATCCTCCTAGAACATTCCTCATTATTTTTATAGTATGCCCCTGCTGGCTCATCCAGATGCATAAGCTCTTATTGTTACCGCCAAAGTACCACTTCACGATTGGGTCGTTTCCAATGGAACGCGTTACTCGAATTGAGTAGAAATTGAGCCGACCTTGTTGGACCATGTTGATGAACCCGAATGGGCATTCGGATGGACGACTTACGGAAATGAAATGAATATTTACGACGACCAATATTTCTGTCGCTCGCATATTCCCCCCCTCCTGCTTGGTGCCATGCCTTTAATACGTTGCATCTCGAATGAGCCCACATTCGAGTTGGCTCATATTACGGATTGCGTGCCGTTCTTGTCTTCTTCTCGAGCAGGCTCATCAAAATGGGAAAACACTGGAAAATCGTCAATAGTGTGCGTACAGATCTCATGATGTCCAGAAGTATGAAACCCTAACAGTCTTGCAGAAACGAATGACCAACAACGGAAAGCACTGACCTCACTCTCCTTATTCCAGCATGGGTACTCGGTCTGTTCATGTGCAAGGCAGCCAACTACATGCAGCAGGCGTTCATGAACGCACGCGTCTACACGCTCCTGGCCCTCTCGGTGACGCTATACCACACGCTGACAACGTGGGTCTCCATCCCGCAGATCAACAACACGTGCATAAGGGTCATCCTGCCGTGCATCTGGGTCTTCTCGCTCGTCGTCAACCTTCCGTTTGCCATATATTTCAATATTAACGAGAAGCAGGTATCAATTCAGTGTAGATATGACATTTCGGAATTTTTTCCCTCTAAAATGTACTCATGGAGATGAAGCGTTTCGATTGTTTTTCTAACCGATTTTCCTCAAACATGTTTTTTTTTCGATTATTTATACTGAACGCAAATTTAATTCACAACCGAAGGCAAGAAGTTTCGAACTTGTTTGAAATCGAAGCGGCAGCGATAAGGCCGACAGAATCCCAAGTAGCTCATACCATTGAATCCATATTGTTTCAATGCTATGTGCTACTAGGAATAGAAACAACCGAAAAGACAGTCCATTACAAAGAAACATGGAAACGATTGGATTCTCCCTCGTAGAGGTCACATAGGAAAATTTGAGTTGAAGGGTCTTCATGCCCCCGACGAAAAATCGGTACAGGAATGTCGGAATACCGAAGATATAAGGAAAGGCTCTCTTAAAAAGTGTATCCTCCCCTTGTAACTTTCCGGGAATGAACCCGTCCCAATATACGATTTGCCACATCTCTTTTTCACATTTCTTTTTCGCTGAAGTAGAAACGAAAAAATTATGTGTTGGATGCAGATAAGAAAGGGGGAGGGGAGCAAGGAAAGAAATCCTTGATTTACATCACTTCATCCTGATTTGAGCCCCGTGACCATTTCCGCATGTTTATGAACAGGGATGAGATGAAATTCAATATCATTCGTCGCATGTCCGTGGAATTGCACATGTAATAAGAACGACATTTTTATTCGATTTACGCTTGATATTGCAATCATCCTTGTAATAGAGCGGTATTATTTGGGGTTCTTATTTTTGCTTATTCGAATGCAGTACTCCCAAAATTCTATGCTCATTAAATAAATGTATGGCTTCAAACGTTTGTTTCAAGTGAGGCAAACCAGTTGCGGCTCGAAACATGCAGCGGTAGTAGCTGTTCGGTGGAGCCAGAGGAGACCGGCGCGCCTGTCGCCCTTTCGCCCCGTGGGTGAAAAGGCTGCCGTTGTCCTTAGTTTTGCAAGAAAAGTGGATTTAAGCTCCGATTAATGCTGAGGCGCAGCTAAATCAGATTTCTTTTGTGCATTTTCAGTATACTTATTTAAATGAAGCAATACGTTTTTGAAATATTTACAAATATTGGAAAAGTCCATCGAAACTTCGAGCAGCGGAAAATATGATAGCTCAATGATTATTCAACATCGTAATGATAGCCAATAACAACGAAAATGGCTCAATATTATTTATTTTATTTGTCGCGTCTAAGTTGTTGAAGGTTTGATGGCTGCAGGCTCATTGGAGTGCATATACACATGTACATCCACGAAACTCTTCGCGATGCGCAGCAACGAGCTCCCCTTATGAGTTTCAGGAAGATGGATTAACTCCTTGGTCGTGCTTCATTTTAGCGGTGAAGATATTTTCATCTAGAATAAATCACTCCCTTTTTTTCGCTGTGCAGGCTTGCTCGGAGAAGTGGTCGTCAGAGAAACTTGGGAAGATCTACTTCGTTTCCGCCCAACTCTTCATGTGCTATTTCTTCCCCTTGGTCATCATGTCCATTTGCTACGGGAGGATCCGGCGCTTCTTGCCCAAAGTCAAACACGACAGTGTCCGTTCGCGATGCCCGTGCGGCATAAGACGCGGCTGGGGTAGGAATGGTTCGGAGCGGATGATACATGTGCATTGGGTCAAGATTCTCCGAGTGATGATCGTCGTCTTTTTCCTCTCCTGGCTTCCACTCCTCAGTTTCGCCGTCCTGGTGAAGTTCGTCGAGCAGGACGTCTTCGACGGCAAGATCGACCTGCTCGACCACATCCGACCGCTGCCTCGATGGTTGGCCGACACGACCAGCTACGTCAATCCTATCATTTATGCCTATTTCAAGCGAAACTTCCGCGAGGGTTACATTATCATCATCCTCGAGGAGTGTTTCAAAGGGAAGAGCTTCTTCGGACCGCTGAAACTCGACATCGAGAGACGGCCCAACAACCAACATCGGTTCCGTTTCACCAGTGAGCCGTTATAACACCAGCGTTCGCAACGGATTGATGCCGTCGGAGTCACTGACTATCCCTCCGGAGCCTCCCAAGCGCGACTGCCGTCCCGAGAAGGACTGTTACTCGTCACCCGGTTTCCTAGTGGTAAAGGTGTCGGCGTTAGTGAATGAACCAGCTGGCCACAAGGCAATGGAGGCACAGTGACAACAAACATTCGATCCACACCACCTTCATCTTCATCCACCTTGTTTAACTGAATGATTATATTTACATGATTGTTTTTCTTAAATACTATTACGTATAAACATATTGAGAGTTTGTATAGCGTGTTATGACATCACTTTTCATTTTTGCCTGTATATGCTTCCATTTTCCTCGGACTTGAATTTTTACATTTGTAGTTGCATCCGGTATTATTTTGCAGATAACGACAAGATGATTTTAATAAGAGTAAGTGATAAATATTCATTAAAGGCATGTTTCTCCCCGTGAAAATCATTCGCTTTGTTTATGCCTTCTGCACTCATCCATCTAAGAAAATGAATAATCTATATTATAAAATCAACTGTGGTCCGTGGTGATGGTCGGTGTCATGTGCGCGCGCACACACACGACACGCGCGTGCGCACAGTGCGACCGCATGTGCTCTCATATGCGCATAGTCATGAGTTCACGTAGCGTGGCCAAAGGCTGCTCACGTGCGGACGCGTGCGCGGCGGGTTGCGATGTCCGCAGAGCGACGTGAGGCCGCTAATAAAAGCCCACATACCACATTGTCCTGCAAAGCCATGACGATTAATGGGGAGGGGGGAGTCCTACCCGTTCTGAAAAATGAGCTAAGGCGAAGGTGTTGCATAGACATAGCATAGCGTCTCCCCGCCCCTCTTTCCCGTCAGGGCTCACTCCAACGGAAATCATTTCTTAAAAATCCTTCTACCTCCATCGGGTCTCTTATATGATCGAGGGGAACGAACTTCCCCCTTATTTTCCAGCTCCCTTCACTTTCCGCGTTCTGCATTCATCGTCTCGATACATCGGCGTCGTCATACTGTTTCAAAACATTGTCGTCCGAATTATTTATATTTAGCTAATTTATTTTTGATATTTATAATATTTATTATAATTACTTTCACGGCTTGGCCTAAAGAAGCGCGCGGTTCTTCCGGTGGCCGCTAGGTGGCGCCTTCAGGGACGCCACAGTTGTAAAGTCAATGTGATGACCTCCGTTTTAATTCTCCTTTGATCAGTATAAGGTCCCCCTATCCTCTAATTTGGACAGCGGTCGTCCCCAGTGTACGAGCAGATATTTTGAGATCCGAGAAGTTTCACGCGAGAAGGGCAAACCCGTAAATGATCGATTGTTTGTATGGATGCGGCGAGAAGGGGGTACTTCGCGAGGCCGCCCTTAGCGATGGGAGAATAAGGTGAAATACCTCCTGGACTATTTCTCAAAGTAATGGTATAAAGGAAGGATTAAAAGTAATTTATATTCAGAGACTGCTTCGCCGTTCCCTTTCCATCCTTTCGAAGTTATATTCTTTTTCATATTACTTCTATTACTTTATTACTAATATTACTTGTGTTACTTATGATCTTCGAAGCACTAAGCTGGCTCTGATGACGAGACTTTTTCCGCACAGAAGACAAGAATCTTCAAGCCCTTCATTTTGAAACACTAAGGATTCTGGCTCCCCCTAGTTGAGTATGAGGAGGTCCTTCTTTGCCTCTCGGAGAGAAGAATGGGCCGATTGGCCCGGATCTTACTGTGGCAGAATCCAAACAGCTGAGTCGCCATAAAACAAAAAGGGCCAATTGGCCGAAATGTACCAGCGAAAAACAAGCCCATAAACACGAGTCTGATACCCAAAAGGACAAGATGAGATTCACTTGAAGCTGACCGAGATGAAAGGAAATATGTCCATGCCTGAATGACTCAAAATGCGATATTAAACATCATACAAATTTTTATTTATTTCTTAAATTGGATTTCAAACCGGACAAAGCATTACCAAGAATTTTCAAAATGGCTAGTTGACACATCTACCAAGCCGAAAACATACTCGAGATTATAAGTGGTGCCAGTTAGAGTTGTATTGTTTACCGTCAAGTCTCCTAAATTGCGGGCAAAAATATGTTTTACTGAACCAATGGAATTCATCGCTCGGTACACTTGCCTAAGTGGAATAGTTCATCTTAAAATAATAATTAAAAAATTCGAAAAAAGAAATTGTTTGGGGAAAAGGAGGAAACAACTTCAATTTATCATGCATAGGAATACGATATCAGGACGCTGATTTTGCCCTTCATGCGATTGAGAGCTCCACCCCACTCCCCCTCCTTTAATTTAGACCACGGCGCAGTGTTATTATTGCCATTTACCCGCTCCAGAAAGCCCATTTTTCGCGTGTCATTCTAGTTCGCAGTACAGGCACAAAGCAAGAAAAAATAGCCGAAATGAATTTCCCAACGAATCGGCAATGAGCAGGTATGGTTTTATTCTAGGAAGTCACGAGCGACCTCGGAAAGTCGGAGACGAGCCAGCCGCCATAGAGGCGCCACGCGTAATCGCCATCGAGGCGCCTCGCGTAATCGCCTTCGGGGCGCCTCGCGTATTTGCCCTTACATCCCCTCTGAGAACGATTTTCGTCTCCGTGTCGATGAAGGGGATATTACACCCGTGTTGGAAATGAAGAGTTGAATTTGGGATTGCATTGGACGTTCGTATGGGGAAGCAAGCGAGGGCTCGATCCAACGTTAGAGGAACTGAGGCTTCATCGCCGTCATGAAGGGTACACCCAGAGAAATCGGTGACTAGAAGTGGTACACCTTTCACAATTTTCTCATTTCGGCTTAAAACATTTTTAAAAGAAAAGGCATTAACGCGGAATTCTGATTCATTATCAGTCTCTTCCCGACTGTGCCGGGTGGCCTGAAAGGCGTTTATATCGGTATATAGCCAAATCGAGAGGGGGGTGGGGGGTGGGGGTGTGAGTCGAAGGGGGTCGGAGAGAGAGGGGAGGGGTAAAATGCTGCATATGTGATGACGTCAGCGAGCCGTTCCGCCATAAAAACGAGTGCTTTGGCCTTGACGACTAAGGTCAAGACAAGTCGTGTGCACTCTTGTCTCTCACAGACGCAATACTGTCTACTCGCGTTTGTCAGAGCCGCCTAGGCAGCATTCTACATACATTATTAATCCGTTCGTTGATTTCGATAATATTCTCAGGTTCCTTAATTTCATTCACTCTCGTAGTAACGGCTGTTACGAAGGATAGTGGTCAATCTGCGTCAAGGTTTGCAGAGGTTCGCATCCTGCAAGAATTTTTATGGGAATAGGCAGGCATAAAATGTTTCCTTCCGTGAACTTCCAAAATTTCTTGACAGGGAATAAATGGTCTCAATCGCTGAGAAGAAAAGCTATCCCCAGATGTGCATTTTCGTGCTCGCATCACTTCTTGGATTTCCATCACGATCGAGACGCTATGAGGCGCTGGAAAAAGATGCCATTCCGACAGAGAATTTGGCTGTAGATCCAACACCATCTCCCACATAGTCCATTTCAAGGAATGAAGGGAGTAGCGGGTCTCCTCATCTCTTTAGAATGAAAACAATGGCATGAAATCACCGAAAGAGCGTGAGTGGCCATTGTTTAGAGGTAGTAATCCTTCGTGAAACGCTGAAGGAGACACCGAATATGAGAAAAATTATTTTAACTCGGGCGATGCAAAAAAGGAACAGTCATCGAAAATCTTCAAGGAAGTGTGTCACTATGATTCAAAAACCCGTCCACAAAGGTGCATTCACAAATACTGAATCATAGAATGATTGAAAAAAATGCAAACACCCGGATACCCATCCATTGGCTATTGGGATCTTCATACCTACTGGAACTCTTTAGACTGAGACGCCCGAACAGGGTCTGTGCAGTGAGGATGAACCTGGTTCGTTTGGAATTGAAGTGAGAAAAAAATTGGGAATGAAGGTGACGGAAAAGGATTTTCATGACAGCTCTGATCCAAAGCGAGATCGAAGGGACATTCAATTCACAAAACCTGTCCCACATAGAAAGAGATTTTCGGTGTGTAGGACATTTTCAGAGGTTTCGGATTTCGTGATGTCATGTTCTCGTACGGACTCCCGTTCCATAGGCGCGCTTCGCTAGCCTGTCTGCTTACACAGCATATTGCGAGACGTTCCAGTCCCAAATCGCTTTACTGCGCAGATCTAAGTGGGATCACTCCTTTCCTCCGGGGTTGTGTGGCTTTGTCAGCCTCCGTCTTGCCACATGTCAGCCTGTCTTCCACGTCATCGTGTGAAAGAAGTGCCGGCTCATTAGGACGAAGGCCCTCCCTCATAAGCCCTCGCGGCAATGCACTGGCTGTTGAGATACTCTCTTGAGCGCCTGTTCGTGCATGGCCTCTTTGCTCTATCACCTTCCCTCCGGCCCATACTCGTGCTCCTGCGTCGAAGAGGGAATTCCAATCTGATCGTTCCTTCCTTTTTCCGAGTCCAGTTTCTATTGTGTTTGCATTTGGTTTAGTGTGTTTGTGGTGCAATAGTTACCGACGGTAGACAAAGCCTCCAAGATTAAGAGCCTATGGCATTGTTCCGGTGCAACGGAGTCGTAGCCAGTTGTGGGGTTCGAGTGAAAATAGGAACAAATGGGAAATCCAATCAACCGTAAATTTCTCTTTCACTAGTCCACAAAAAGAAGTGGAGAGTACCAGCCCATGTACAGATCCGGCATTCTATTGACCCCTGTACCATTGGTTTTATTACATATATATTTACCACATTCGAACCATGAAATCTTGAATATAAATAAATTACAGTTGTCATTGATTCGGCGTAAGCCTATATGAAAAGGCCTGGAAACTAGACATGTTCTCGAGGGTTCGCGCGTCCTTGTCGCGAAGAGAAGGGGGACAATATGAAGTGTAGGATGCCAGATACGGCATTTCACGCGTGCGCCTAACAACCCTGTCTACGCGGCAGGGAGCAGCCGCTCTCCTCCATTGTCTAATATGGATTCGTCATCCGTCAGGGCTGGAAGGGAAGTGGATGTTTTCGTGGAAGACGGGCACCCCGACGCAGGTGGAAAGCTGCGCTTGCGCATTGGGTCGTTTTGTCCGGTTGCTATGGCTACCGCGGAAGACGGAATTAAAAAAATGAAAATATCTGGCGTTACAATATCTGGCTATTCCCCATGATACCTATGGGATTACCAGGTAATAAGGTCATTGTCTTGGGTCCCGTTCTTTGGTGATTATAGCCCCCACGGTCTTCACCCAAACTGAAGTGAAGAGGTGGTGCAGGAATCGGAGGCTTGCGACAAGCGATTGGCTCCCCCGATCTTAATTGGATCTCTTGACAGTGTTCAGGGCCTCGATCGTGCCGGATCGTCAGGAAGACATTATCGTTCGTATTATCGGGCTGAGATCAAACCTGTTTTGGGTCGGAGGTGTTCGACAATGTCCAACGCTCAGGTCGAGCTGTTTTACAATGGCGGGTTGGGTGAGATGTGAGATAAAGATGGTGGATTATGGAAACGCGACGTTTTAGAAGGTCGGATGTTGCACAACTAGCAGGGCGCTTCCCAAGTGTTCACGCAGGGACCGGCTTGCTAACGGCCGTGATGCGATCGTTTGTCTCGACCTGAGATCATTCCTAACTCCGAACTAGACTGCGGGCGTACCTTTAAGCAATAGTGTCTTATGCTTAGTAAAAGGTCTGTATATGACTTTTACTCTGGGAGAGATGTTTGGAATTTAGTTCCTCATTCTCTTAACCCTTTATAGGACATAACACTGGGAGTGGAAGGAAAAAATTGAAAATATGATTGTAGGTTCATCTAATGTTTTATTTAACCGGAAAGCACAAATTATAAATTTCATACTTCTAAATATGCAAATTAGGAATTTAATATTTTCCCCATTGCTATTGCAGGGAATGTCACTTGTCAAAATGGATATAAAGGTTCTATCGAATCAAAATATATTATTTAGATTTGATGGAACGTTGCAAATCATTTCTTACATAAAGTAACATTGCAAACATTAAATTATGTTACTTCTCTTTATTTGTGCTGTTCTGCAATGCGTACAAAATCTGTAAGTTGGGCCTACTTCTAGCAGATGAGATCCAACATTCACCAGTCTCACTGTATTTGCAACAGTTTTCGTTCCAGATGGTCTGTTTCGCTTTCTTGCATGACCACTCATTGGAGCAGGGCCTCTCCTTTTATTGTTAGAGAAGGTCCCAATTAGCTCATTCACCAGTGTCGAAGGAAAATTGAGGTGGCTTGTGTGGTTTCCTTTTCTTGTTTTTACAGTCTTCATATGCAGAATAAATCTACTATCACACAATCCAGGAAGTAATAAAACAGTTTTATCCCCCATCTCCTTGACTTTTGACATACATTGTAAACTGCTAGGTACTGATCAAATATGTATAATCCACCCATATATTTATTATAGTCTGCAACTGAGAATAATACGTAATTCTCACTCTTATGAGAAATATTCTCATAAGACTGAGAATTAAGTATTATTGTCAAATATTAAGTCATATTTCAATCAACTATGGAAATATCACGTTTCCGTCATGACAGTTCTACAATGCAATTCCTCGCATTAGCGAGAAAGGGATGCCCTGCAGCGTGCATGTGAGATGGGAGGTGGGAAACTATTATCCCATTATTATTAACTTATAAAGGGTTAATATTGACAAACACCTGGGCTCCCTAGAAACTAGTGGCTGAAACTGTAAATACACGTCAGGGATCAATCACCCTTAGCGGGGTCGCGCGCTCGATCCTCTTACATCACATTTGTAGAAAAGTTGGAGATTCTTGACTAAAGTCATCCTTTGAAAATTTCTGTTTCTGTTTCGTTGGATGAAAAACATCAGAAAAATAGGCCTTTAAGCAAAGTGCCCTGATGGGTTTTACCGAAATTTTTATTTCTGAAATGTAGACTCAGGGAATTCCATGCCACCCAGTTACGTTTCCCGTTTTGATTGGCGGTAAAAAAAATGTATTTGGAAAAGCGACCCACCCAAAAGCTGTGCTCTGAGTAGTTTACAATGTATGTCAAAAGTCAAGGAGATGGGGGATAAAACTGTTTTATTACTTCCTGGATTGTGTGATAGTAGATTTATTCTGCATATGAAGACTGTAAAAACAAGAAAAGGAAACCACCCAAAAGCTGTGCTCTGAGGAGACGCACAACAAAAGTTGAATTTTTCCTTAAACATCACGTCCGTTATGCGTGCGCCAGCTTCTACTTTTCTATTTCTGCCCGATTCGCCATGATATTAAAAATTCTTTGAAAACATAACGTCCCAAAGAAGTATCCCCCCCAAAAATATCAATATTTTGGAAATTGGACATTTTTCCTGAGCTCAGTGCGTCAGCAGTCACGTTCTTACCAAGTCTCAGCTTTCCATGTGTCAAAAGTTGAATTTTTTTCCTTACTCAGCTGTTCATCAGGTTCTTCTTTGCCAAGTTTAAACTTTCTACACCCTCTGTTTTGCTGGATCGGGAAAATTCGAGAAAATACGCCTTTTGCAAAATATGTGCCCTGGGGCGCTTTCACCGAAAGGTGCATATTTTATTTTTTTTTCCGAAATCAATCCTCAGAGAACTACATGCCCACAAAGTTTCAACATTATACGTTTGCCCTTTTCGCTGGTGAAAAAACATGGTTGGAAAGCCGACGCACCCAAAACCTATGCCCGGAGGGGATGCACCATGAATACTGAATACTCCTTCAACTCAATAATACCATGTCTCTTATACGTGTGCCAAGTTTCACCTTTCCATTTCTGCCCAATTCGCCACGACAATTTCTTTTTTTTAAAACATCGCCCCTCGAAAAAATTTCCCCAGGGGATGTATCGAGACTTAACAAATTTATTTAACTCCTTCCCTCAGTAGTCACATTTATGCAAAGTTCCAGCTTTCCATGTTCATCAGTTTCACGGATGCAAAAAAATTATTTGAAAACATCTCCCTATGAAACTTGTGCCCCCATGGCATTTACTTCCAAAGTCTGAATTTTTCTGCACGCAGCATCCCAAGAGGCAGTCATGTACCAAGTTTATCGGTCCACACTAGCTCAATATGCTATGGGTATCAACAAACTGAGAACGTAGAACAAATCAACGTGAAATGGTTGGCCCCTAAAAATATGACCCCACAGGGCATATATCTAAAAGTTTCCGTTTTTCCTGAACTTATCGTCTTGGTAGGCATGTCCTTGCCAAGTTTCAGTTTTCTATCATGTCTCTCCGTTTTACTAAAGCAAAAATATTGTTTCGCGAATGAGTATGAGTAATGCGACTTGGAAGGCATAAAAAAGCCAAGGAACGGCCGGGAATTGAACCCTGGCCTCCATGATTGCCGGTCAGGTGTACTACCACTACATCACCGAAGCCGAGAAGTCTAGTCAACCCTCTCAATGCTATCCTAATCCGTCACAATATATATCTTTAAAAACGTCTTCCCCCAAAATGTGTGCCCCTAGGGCATGTACTTCCAAAGTTGGATTTTTCTGAACTCCGCATCCCAAAGGAACATGCGTACCAAGTTTCAGATTTCTAACCTCTCTAGAACATGGTTAGAATTAGCGTCAGTCAGTCGGTCAGTTACGATCGTCTATATTTTCAATATATTAGATGGCATATACTCCAAAGGAGACACTCAACATTAAAAACCCTACACGTGGGGTGAAGTGCTAGAAAATTTCACGTCATCGTCCTTCGCTAAGACACCTGTAATGGGAGCAAAAATTCTGATCATTCATTCTTGGCGGTGACAACCTATTGCACTCTACTAATTCCATCAATAGCCTGCCGTGACCACCAGATTTTTTTGTGCTTATTTCCTTTTGGTACCCTGACATCTTTTGATTCCATGATTCCTGCCTTGAATTCTGCTATGGGATCATTCTGTTGAATCGAAAGGAACATCACATATATGCTCTCTCACCCACTCAGATAAAATTCCAGGAGACCTGAGACCATACCATGGAAGAGGAGCTGCCCGCCCTGTTGGACAACCTATGGAACGAGACCATCCAGAGCGAGAACTTCCAGCACGGGCATGCGATGACCTCCACGTTGTGCATCCTGTTCGGCGCCGTCTTCCTCCTCGGATTCGTGGGGAATCTCTTGGTGATGATGGTGATCGTCAGGAAACGGCACATACATAATACGCCTTACATCTTCATTTTCAACCTGGCTCTAGCGGATTTCCTCGTCATCGTGTTTTGCGTCCCTGGGAATCTCCTCAGCAACATCCTTAATAGTGAGAATAATTATATAATCTCTCTTAGAATTATTTGAATCTCTGCTGTGCAGCATCCTTTTTGGTTTTGAAGAAATTGAGACTTTTTGGCACATTCTCCTGTATTCGTCATGAATCGAATAAAAAAAATTTACAATTCAATCGTATTCATGAAAAGAATAAAACATTATGGGTTATTGCTGTGCTATCATTAGGAACCTTACATTTTGATTCTATTGAAGTCTAGAAAATCCCTCCCCCCAAAAAAAATTCACTCTAAATTCATTTTCTGAAAAGTCCTTAAGTATTCATTCCAATAATCATGTCAGTTTAAATATGTTCATCTGTTCTTTAAGTCTGCAACATAAAATATATTTGAAAATTGTCATTTATTTTCAGCTTTTTCGGGATCACTTCATTCGCTTCTATCGAAGAAAATAAATCTGAAGCTATTATTGCAACAAATTTCAGTTTCGTCTTCTAATTATATTGTGTTGGAAAAAAGTTTTCAAGTTTCAGATAATTTGGCTGCAAATTACTGTTTTTTTCATGAATCAGGAAACTTATGGTCTAGCCCGCACCTATTGTAAAATAAAAAAAAGGCCTTTCTTTGACTAAAGCAGCTGAGCTTGTCAAGAATATGGATATGGCCGGCATTTCAAAGTCGCTGCTTGCATTAAAGATTCTCCCCCGTCCCCACCGCTCATTGTCTAACGAGTCTCATTGCCGGAAAACAATGCAAAATGTGTTTTAAGAAAAGGCTTGGAATACGCAAATGCGGGAACAAGGAAAGGAACACAAGCGGGAAGGAAACTCTGATTTGGAATATATATATTTTTTTTTCGAAAGCTGGAATGCCCGCTTCTGGCATGAGGACCGGACAATCCAGCAGAGGATGAAGCATAGCGATAAACGCTACCTCTAAAAATCGACGGCTTTATTAAATCAACAGGGCGAATAAGAATATTCTTCAATACCATCAAGCCTTCCCTCTCTTCAAGCAGATTTCCAGTTCGTGTGTGACTTAGAATGAGATGAAACATCGATCCCAGGATGCCCCATTCACTGCCATCCACTTCGCTTTCCACTTCGCCAAGAACTTCGCCGCCGTCGATGTTCTAGTGCATGCGGTTTCGGCAGCGACCAAATGGATTTTTATGATGCCCAGTCCGTTTTCATTGAAAAGAATGCCGCGAAAACCATTAATAGTTTGCCCACTAAGCGCATAACAAAAATAGGACTCTCTAGCAGTCTTGGGAAAAAAAGGAAAATAAAATTAACGTAATGAATTAAATTAATTAAATCAAGCATGAAAGCGAAAACATTCACTAGTAAACATAAAATATTTACACATATTTATTATAAACAACGAAATAAAACATTTAATAATTAAAATACTTAAAATACCGATAATACCAAGTAAGGGGAACAGGACAACACTGAACTCAATCTCCTTCTTCCAGCATGGGTACTCGGTCTGTTCATGTGCAAGGCACTTAACTACATGCAGCTGGTGTGCATGAACGTAACCGTCTACACGCTCCTGGCGATGTCGGTGGAGCGATACATCGTGATGCGCAGGAATAGCTCCTTCCAGCGGATCGTGAATATGTGCGGAAAGATTATCCTGGCATGCATCTGGGTCTTTTCCCTCGCCGTGAGCATTCCGTCTGCCCTCTACGCCATTCATTATGAGAACCAGGTATGGAATGGGTGTGGATGGAGAATACTATTTTTCCCTGGATATATTCATTTTCCAATTGTTTTCGAATTGTTTTTTCACAAGAACTTCTTTACTTTTTCGAATATATTTCAAAAAGTTTTTACCCATGTCAATTTAGGCTAGAATCGAAGGTAAGAATTTTCTTCCAAGCTTGAAATTCAATTGGCAGCGACAAGGCCAACAAGATTGGCAAGACCGACAAGAATGACCATATCTCGCTTATCAAGAAAAGAGGGAAATCTCCCTCGTGTAGTGGCCATTTAGGGGGGTAATGCCACCAAAATCTAACTGCCCGCTCACATGCATGTCTCCGATGAGAAATAAGGAATGCGTCGACTGGTCATCGCTGTCATAAGGAAGGCCCTCTCAAGGCGGATCCTCCTCAAGTACCTCTCTGAGAATAGACCCATCCCCATGAATGATCCACCTCATTATCAATTGTCTTTCCCTAGGAGGCAGAATATGAACGTTTATGTGGTAGATCCAGATAAGTGGGGGGGGGGGGGGGGGGAG